GTCGTTTTTACAAACGGAGCACTGTAGGTACTCCAAACGAACTGGTGTAAGCAACTGGTGTATAAGTAACTGGTGTCATTTTAGACGCTCCCATGTATGTGTGTGTGTCTATATATATATATATATATATATATATATATATATATATATATATATATCCCTATCCCTAATATTATAAGCGTCTAAATGGGTTATCTTGGGCGTTTTTCCATTTATTTTCTAACGCGTCTACTGTTCATCGTTTCTTTACTATTCATTTCCATCTTCTCCCTGTGTTTAGCACGAAGCATGAAACGGATTGGCCATTCTAGCCGCCCACCGCCCCACGATCCAAGCCTCTTCACAGCGGAGTATTATAGAAAAGAATGGTTTCCACGGTTTTTGCCAGTTTCTTCTTCCGGTGCGGCTATTCTTGCTTCAACTTTGCAGGTATTTTTCTTCCCCCTGCTCACTCTTCTTTACTGAGTTGCATCAATTTTTCCCAAATTTTAATTTCGCAAAAGGCTGGCCTCTTTGGGAATTCTTCCAATTTCACAGCTTTGTCTTCAATTTCACAGCTTTTTCTTTACTTCCAATTTCAGATTCATCAATTTCACACCTTTTTGTGGCTGAAAAAAATGAAACCCAATTAAAGTTCATCCTCTTCTAGAAGTTCAAGAGTTTTATAATCCACTTTATTCGGAAATTCACCCATTTTTTAATACACGTATTTTTCTATAATCTTTGCTCAATTTTAAAACTTGAAAGAAGAATGAAAGGGTAAATTTCGTAATGAAGATTGAAAAGTTGTCCTCCCATTTTGGAAAAGTTATTTCTCCTTCCTTCTTAGCTCTGTTCCCCCAAAGCATAGTCAGTGTTGTCGATTTGGGTACCTTCGTCTCTGTGTTTAGCCATTTTCGCCGCCCACCGCACCACGACCTTAGCTTCTTCGCAGCGGAGTATTATAATTTTATATAGTTAGAAACCAGTTGCCATTTTTTTGGTCACTCCAAGCCATACTTGGGTCCCTGAATTCCAACAGACCAACGCCGGGTGGAGGAATAATAACTAGATTACCCGGATACTTGGTCCATTTAAAGAGGAGGGGATTAGAAAGATTGGCAGGATATTCACTTGATATGACTTTGTGGGATTTACACTTTCACAAATATGATATTTTTATACAAAGTAGAAAATGGTATCTGATCTCTATGCTTATGCCGGTATATTCACTTTTATTTACTGTATAGACAAAAAAGTGAACATCTTCAATAACAAATTAATCCATGTTCTAAACCAATGACATAGGCAAAGAAGTATCTGATATCTATGCTTATGATAGTTCAAACTGTATTTACCAACTATCAATATAATAGATATCCCATTATCACATTAACAAAAAAGTGTGATATTAAACTCTTACACTAAAACACATTGGAAATATTTTAAACTATGCTAGATCTTTAAACTATTTAGACACACAAATATGATATTTTTAAACAAAGAAGAAAAAACCTATCTAAAACTTTCCAGGCACAAATAATCAAAAAGCCACCATGATCTGAGGAGTTGTGGCAGACCCACTTTGTTACATTTCTTTATTCATAGGGGTGGTAGTTTACATATATGTGAAGAATTTGTTCATGTAATTAGTTTCATAAACATTTTATTCTTTATGGTCTTCACAGGTGACACAATACTCTTCGTGCTCCGTCTTTATCTCATCAACTTCTTGTTCCTCTTCCTTGGTATGTTTACGCACTTTATATATATATATTTCTTTAAATTTTATTGAAAACATATTTTCTATGTATTTCTAGAAATGTAGTGTCAAAGTTATTTTCTAAGAATTAAAATTCTTTATAAGCATCTGTAGGTTTTCGATATAGATATCTTTAAAAACACTTAGTACTAAAAGAACCTTAGTTCTCTTATTTGCTAGCCACATTTTAAAAAAAACCTAGGAGTTACTAAATTTAATACTTATATTTGTAATTACATGATGCATAACCTTAGTCAACACTTGGGTGTAATCTTAAGTTATTAAAGATTCAATGGAAGTTGGATCTTCATCTACTCAACCAGTCGCCGAGGGTAATCGACGTGAACAAACAAACTTTAGACGTCGGCTTAGATATCGTGAGTTACGTGACCAAGAAAAAGAAACGGGTTCAACTACTACTCAACGCTCCAAAATCTTCGGCACATGTTCTACTAATAAAGGTCTTCCATTTATTTTTTTATGATATACATTATAGCCTCATTTTTGCTTTCAAAGCCATTGGCTAATTTTTTTCTTCTTTTCCTAACTATCCTCCCTAAAAAAAACCTTTGAATACATACCCCAACACATTCAACTATTTTCATTCCTATATTCTTGACATTCCTCTACCCACAACTATTAATCCTATTTCGACAGATTCATCAACGCTCTATGCATATCATGAATCACCTTTTTCTTTAAAGAGGGTATTAGATTGCATATTTTGTGGTGCAAGTCGCTTCGAGTTTGAGCCTTTGGGGTTTTGTTGTTGTCGAGGTGAGGTCATTCTAGAATCCACTCAGATGCCCATTGCATTAAAAGACCTATTCATTGGGAATGATGTTAAAGCAAAACAATTTCAATCTCTTGTTCGTACATACAACAACACATTTGCATTCACCTCAATCGGTATATATAATTACGACAAGGATTTGTGCAAAAGGAACAAAGGAATCTACACTTTTAAGGTGCAGGGGCAAATATATCATTTCGTGAATGACTTGCTGCCAAATGGATCTCCACCGCGAAATTTACAGCTATATTTTTTTGACGCCGATCACCAAGTTTAAAACAGGACACAGACAACAGATAGGTTGGATAAAGAGATAGTATCAGCTCTTGTTGAATTGATCTCAGATAATCCATACGCTCAATTTTTTAAGAGTCTCAAAGATGTATGTAACGATGCGGAGTTTAGTATACAACTACACAACCATCCAGGCTTAGATCAACGAGTCTATAATACTCCTACCGCGTCACAAATTGCTGCAATATGGGTTGAAGATAGGAACAACGGAACTCAGGAAACCAAACACATTCGTGTTTATGGTCACACTGGAAAATCACAGAGCATTCAATACTTCTATGGATGTTATGATCCTTTACAATATCCATTATTGTTTGCTCATGGGGAGGTAGGTTGGCATACCGGGATTGATAGGGTATTGTCAGAAGTGCAACGTCATTTAGCAAAAACCAAACAGATACCTTGTGTGATGTCGGATGTTAACCTTGCACACACCGCTGATGATGTAATTCGGATTGAAGAAAATAATATTCAAACAGGAAGGAAGAGAAAAACGATTTCCTGTAGGGAGTATTATGCTTATAAGCTCCAAATACGCCAGAATGACAACAGCTTTTTGTTACATACAGGAAGGTTGTTACAACAATTTATTGTTGATGTCTACGTCAAAATTGAAACACAACGTTTGGATTATTATAGACTTAAACAACTTGATCTCAGATCTGAAACGTATCAAGGTGTTGTGGATAGCATGTATACAGGCATGGTATACGGCGACGATGTTGGCCAACGTGTCATTCTACCAGCTTCATTCATAGGCGATCCTCAAGATATGCATAAACGTTATCTTGATGCGATGGCAATTGTTCAACAATATGGCAAACCAGATCTCTTTGTAACGATGACGTGTAATCCGAATTGGCCTGAAATCAAAGAGCACCTTCACCACCGAGATGAGGCCCAGAATCGACCAGATCTTGTGTGTAGGGCTTTTCATGCACGACTACAGGAATTCAAGAATGATATCATCAAAAAAAGTTTCTTTGGTCAAGTTGCAGCATACATATATGTTATAGAATTTCAAAAGCGCGGGCTTCCTCATGCACATTTCCTTATAATCCTAAAGGTCGGAGCAAAAATACAAAATTCCCTTCTCTGCGACAAATTTGTTTCTACGGAAATACCTGACCCAATACACCAACCACGTTTATACTCACTTGTCAAAAAACATATGATACACGGCCCTTGTGGCGCTCTTAACCGAAGTTGTCCGTGTATGACAAAAAAAAGGGGACAGTCAGCCGCCTCTTGTAGAGGCAAGTACCCAAGATCTTTGAGTGACGAAACATCATTTGGAGAAGATTCCTTTCCTATTTACCGCAGAAGGAACAACAGAAACACTGTAGAAATAAGGGGGTGTGCACTTGATAACTCTTGGGTAGTACCCTACAACCCACAACTCTTATTAAAATATGACTGCCACATTAATGTTGAAGTTTGTGCGACGGTCAGATCTGTTAAATACATATATAAGTATGTTTACAAAGGGCATGATAGAATTTCTGTTGGCATCTCCACCGATAAAACCACTTCTGAACATGACGAGATTGCAGACTTTCAGAATGCAAGATGGGTTTCTGCACCAGAGGCGGCGTGGAGAATATTTGGTTTTCCAATTGCCGAAATGCATCCCCCAGTTTTGCAATTACAGGTGCATTTAGAAAACTTCCAGTATATCAACTTCTTTGGAAACCAAAGAATCACGAAGATTGTTAAAGACGATAATAAGTCGAGCACAATGCTGACTAAGTTCTTTGAAATGAACACATGTGACATCGTTGCAAAAGGACTTCAATTACTTTACATACAATTCCCTGAATATTTTGTTTGGTCAGACACAAACAAAGTATGGACGCAACGAAAACGTAAAACTGTTATTGGCCGACTTGTCAGCGTAAATCCAACAGAAGGAGAGAGATATTACCTCCGCATCTTACTCCAACATGTCAAAGCTCCAACGTCATTCAACAGTTTGAGACTCGTCGATGGTCACATGTTTTCCACATTTCGAGAGAGTGCTGAAAGAATGGGACTTTTAACAGAAAATGCTACAATTGATGTCTGTCTTGAAGAGGCAATCACATATCAAATGCCCAGTAGCTTAAGGAAATTGTTTGCTTCGTTATTGGTCTTTTGCGAGGTTCCTAATCCAAGAGAACTATGGTCTAAATACAAACCTCACTTATATGAAGACTTTTCTCAGACAGGATTCCACACTCCAATAGAAATGGAAATGATTGTACTCAAACTTATTGGAGACATAACTAAAAGTCTTGGAAAGAGCATTGCTACATTCAATTTAATCGACTCTGCCATGTCTTTAAGTACCACTGAACTTCAGGCACGGGAATTGAGCTCAGAGCATAACATAAACGTTAGCGAACAGGACCTTCAGTGCGCCCAGCTTCTCAACAAAGAACAAAAAGCTGCTTTTGACTCCATTATGCAAAGCGTATTTTTAAACAAAAGCGCAGTTTTCTTCGTAGACGGTCCTGGTGGTACAGGAAAAACATTTCTATACAGAGCTTTGTTAGCAACAGTTCGGAGCAAAAAATGGATAGCTTTGGCTACTCAACATCAGGTATTGCCGCTTCAATTCTTCCAGGAGGTCGCACTGCACATTCTAGATTTAAATTGCCGCTAGATGGAAACGACAGAAACACTTGTAACATAGGTAAGCAAAGTGCAACAGCTACATTACTAAGAGAGGCACGAATTATCATATGGGATGAGGTTACAATGGCTAACCGAGGTATTATCGAAGCATTGAATACAAGTCTCAAAGATATTATGTGCTTGGAGAAAGTCTTTGGAGGAAAAATTATTGTTTTCGGTGGAGATTTACGCCAAACTCTCCCTGTTGTTAGGCATGGAAACAAACAAGACTCTATTAATGCATGCATTGTCAAATCCTCCTATATTTGGGCAAAATTGAAACGTCTCATTTTAGTACAAAATATACGTGCTCAATCTGATCCGTTTTTTTGCGAATATCTAATGACGATAGGAAATGGAACAACACCGACTGTTGATGGTACAAACATTGAAATTCCAGAACAATTCCTTACTCATGTCGGTCATGCCTCAAACCCATTGTCGTCACTGATAGCAGCAGTTTACCCAGACCTGAGTCTTTTTCAACGAGATCCATACACATTGATGGGTAGAATAATTCTAACCACCACAAATGAGTACGTGGATTAAATAAATGGAATCCTCATTGATACATTCCCTGGACAATCAAAAACGCTGCTAAGCTATGATGAAGCGCTCGATCCTAAGTACAAAAATTGCCAAGACTTCTTACTGACGGAGCTAGAAGATAGCGGTAAGTCAACAAATAACCGAGTTAGACTCGGGTCGTTCTCTCCTGGAGTGACGAAGGGAATAGTTAGTTTTATTATTTGTCACAGGTAAATTTATAGTTTTAGAAACGTGAAATAATGATAAAATGACTTGAGGAGTTAAGATCGGAATGCAGACTTAACACAATTTAACTCATCTTTTATTAACAATTGGACTAATGAAATTTGTAGCACTTATATTTAATATATCTCCTATTTCTAGGTCTCAATATTAATTATAAGACTATTATATTTCCAGTACATCTCCAATTTTTCAGGTCTCAGTACTGTGCTAGAAAATGTTTGGCTTAAATAATTCTAAATCCTCATAGACAAGGCAAGAACTATTTTCCAATTACTTAATTAATAAAATGTTTAACATTATTAATTAGTTTAAGCCATTCCAAACGGTTATTTCTAACACTGCCTATTTCTAGGTGTTCGGAACGTGTGGCTTAACTAATCTTTTTACTTCATAGACAAAGTAAAAGATTAATTTCCAAGGATTAATTAATAATAAAAACAATTTTATTAATTAATAAAGATTATTTCATTTTCTAAAAATTAATCCAATTACTAATAAATAAATGAAATTAAATTGATTAAATCTTAATTCCGAATCTTAACCCATTTTAAATTACCAATTCATAATATCAAACAAAACATTCATCATCATTAAAATCTTCAAAAACATATCAATCATCAACAAAGTAAAATTTTATTGATAAAAAGTTCAATAAAGATTACAATAAAAAGTAGAGTAAAACTTACAGTGCTTCAAAGACTTGAGAATTAACTTAAAATGATGAAATTGAACCCACACAATTTTAATACAATATTAAAAATCAAAAGGGAGTATTTTCACCCCTAAAAAGGGGAAAATCGCACTTGGAAGCTTGGGAAGAAGAAGGATCCGCCGCTGCCATTTTATAGGGGGGAAGAATCGACCGGCGAGCAGACTAGCGGCCGCCAGCAAGCCCGCCGGCGCGCCGCTGGAAAAATCTGGAAACGTTGGTCGCCGCTTGCCGCCGTCGACAGGCGGGCAGACAGGCGGTCGCCTGTCAGCCCGCCAGCGCTCCCCCTCGCTGCCTATTCATCTTCTCGCCGTCGCCGCCTTCTGACTGGCGGCCAGGCAGGCTGCCGCCGGCCAGGTCGCCTGTCAGGTCGCCAAAATCTGTCGATGCTACCTTGCTCAAAATTTCGTTCCGAACATTTTTTCCTTCTGCACCGACTTCTAATTCCGCACCGTTTGTGAGATAGAATTGTTTTTCTATTAAAATTTACTCTTTTTTACTCTATTCTTGGCCCAATTTTATATATTATTTCAAAGACATTCTTTTTATGATCAATTCATCAAAACATATATTTTTGATAAAAAAAGAATAAATAATTTATTGTTTTGATAATAAAAATGGTACAAGAACAAATTAAATATGAGTAAAAAGATAAGTACAAAACGGACTTATCACTTACACACATTGTCATTTGCAGGTTTGCCTCCACACACCTTAGTTTTAAAAAAAAATTGCCCAATCATCCCACTTCGAAACCTGAATCCTGCTGAGGGCTTATGTAACGGAACACGCTTAATATGTGATGCTTTTCACGATAATCTCATAAGTTGTTCTATAGCATTTGGTGACTATAAGGGCAAACATGTATTCATACCAAGAATACCACTTGAAATCTCTAAAGACGAAAAGTGTACAATTCCATTCAAGAGAACTCAATTTCCAATTAAGCTATGCTTCGCAATGACAATCAACAAATCACAAGGCCAGACCCTCGACTTCGCTGGAATCTATCTTAGACAACCAGTTTTCTCTCATGGCCAGTTGTACGTTACGATGTCCCGTGCGAAAAATGCAGCATCCATGAACATACTTATTCACAATGACAATCACATTTCCAAGACCACAAATGTCACAGCAAATATTGTGTACAAAGAAATCTTGGAATACCTTGCATAGTAAAAAAAATAGGTCAGTTTTTCCCATCTATATGCCTGTGTTTGAATCCTTTTTCATTGTGTCTGCTTTTGCTATCGCCAAGGAATAAAGTCCTTGCTTTCTCTACAACTGTTTACTTCAAATTGATGATTTAGAAGGCATGACAGGTTGTTCTACCCACGCTTCCTGTCCATTTTAGCAATTCTAAGATTACAAAAAAATATTGTCCTTTTTAGCGTTCACTGTCCATTTAAGCACTCAGAAATTGACAGTTTACTTTGAAACTATGATATTAACTTTTAAATTCAATATTATTATCTTCATGCATTACTTATTAATTATTAAATTCTAAACTACAAGCCTATATTCTAAGTTCTCATTTTCTCACTTTGAATTTTCAGGAAAATGGATGCAGAAGAACAAATCATACACATAAAACCAAATTCCAGGTCATGGAGCTGCAAAGTTCTGGTGATTGAGAAGTTGAACGAACGCGAATCATTCAATAAACCTGGACTAACATATAAACCTATAATCTTGCAAGACAGTGCTGTAAAATTCTTGAACCACACTAATACAAACTTCTTGTTTAATAAACTCTTAATATCAAACCTCTAAAATCTTATTCATTTATAGGGACACAAGGTCAAAGCAATGACTTATGGACAAGATATTGCCGTAATCGACAAACGCATCCAGTTGAATGGCACATATAAGGTATTTGATGCAAGGGTTTCGCCAGCGGCGCATGGGTTTGCCGTCCCTGATGAAACTTATAGGTTCATTTGGACATTGAATAGAAGAACAATGATTCATGATGTCAGTCCCGATGAAAAGCTCGTACCTCAGCCAACTGCAGATGCTGAAATTGAACCATTTTCAATGTTCTACAAATCAATGTGGAGTAAAAAAGATATCAGTAAGTACTAACACATTTCCTCCATTATACTACCTGCTTTTTCTTTAACATCATTACTCTCCCTGTCCACCACTGATCATACTTGAAACATACATTTCTCATTACACATTTCATTAACTTTATGTTTAATATCTAACACTGCTATGTCCTAAATAATAGATGTACTTGGAGCTGTTATTTCCAAATTGGCCCGCATGTTTGTCTTCACAAAAAAAGGTCAAAAGACAACAACCGACTTCATCATCATAGACCAAGAGTATGTTCCAGTACTAATTCTATCACATCTTCTATTGTTTCAATATTGCATACATTTGCGAAACCAATCTTAATAATATTTGCTATGCTTTTAACTTTACCGCTTTTCGAATTCATTCACATTTTTTTAAACATTACACTGATTCTCACCTAATCCACCATCTTTAGAATGCTAATAAATTTCAAACCCAAGAACACATTTGTATTCCGTGCACTCGTTTGTGGTGGGAATAAAAACTTTCGGTATCTAGGAACTTCTTTACTTTCTTCCTCACGGTGTGTTTTAAGTTTACATTTTAAACACAGGCTGACACTTATTATTTTAGTGTCACATATTTCTTCCTGGATTTGGATTTCTTTTAAGCCCACTTCATATGGTTTCTTAGTTGACAGTATGCTCTTCTTCCTAAAGGAATATTGAAGAACATAAGCGACTATATAAGTTGATCAGTGTCCTCCGTTTTCCTTATTCAGCAAATGTTGTTGCATACCGAGAACGGAGTAGCACAATCATCCTCTAGGGAAAATGAATTAGAAACATCGGTGGACTCGGTTTGTTGCTTATTTGATCTAATGCACAACTGCCTGGTCGAATTTTAAATACATTTTGGCATGCTTATTTGTAATTTTCTTCTCACTCATGACTTCATTCATACTCATATAACGAATACTGACTATGCCACACATATTGGAAGGCGACGGCCTCAGGTCGTGATCCCATCATCTAATATGTGCCTTTACTGAAACTAACTCGTATACTAATTCAATACGCCTTTGGGAAACCTGGGTAAAAAAAGTGCTGGACTTACTTAAATGCTTATTTCACCTACTGCACGACTACTTCCTAATGGAATAATGATGAACATAGGATGAAATGTTGTTACGCATCCTCCGTTATCCTTATTGAATAAATATTGTTTTATAAGAAGAACGGAGGACGCCGATCAACAACTCGAATCAATACCATATCAAACCTCGCACTTAGGCATCATGCTCCTAGGGACAGAGACCCTCAAACTCTAACGTCTCTCTGGTGCAGACCAAACCACTGTCGACCGAGACTGCGCAAACTTAGAAGACCGTACAAACATCAAACATCAAACACCCACACAATAATAATTTCACAGGGGCAAGTTAGTACGTATCCAGAGAGTACATTACGGTTTAAAATTTGGAAGTCTGCATTGATTTGGGTTACTCTACATATACTCGTGGATGTAAGAACCTATGTGGGTTATTAATTATGTGGGTTATATAACTAAATAAATTATGTACTTTTTAGAAGGCTTATTCCATATACTTTAGCCTTCATCTTTAAAAATCATATGAAAAAAAAATTCGAACATACAATATACCATCCCAGCTTAAACTCTTTTCTTCTTTGACATATGTCTAAAAAATTTAACTTCAACACACATACTTTATGCCTTCACACCCCGTTGACATTTTCGTGATCATGTAGATGCAAGCCAATCACTCTAACATTGTGGGAGGAATTCGCAACCACTCAGGGGATAGAAATCGAAAAGGCACTCGAATCGGGTACTTATCCAACAATACTCGCAAAGAGGATACTTGCGACTACCTACCAAGGTAAACCCCACCTTTTTTATGCATAGAAATACTCCTCTATTAAATTTACTCTTTTCCCACTTTTTAGATTTGCTTTGTTTACAGACTTTCTGCATTTTTATATATACACAACTGCTTATGTCCTTTTACCTTTGGAGTCTGATTCTCTATTACATATACAAACAGGACTGACACTAACAACACGTCAAGATTCATCAATCGAACTAAATCCAACCATACCTCTTGCGGCATCTCTAGAAGAGTGGTAGGAATTTTTATATATTCTTACAATTACTTAGTTTTTACAATTAGTTCTATAACCAAATATGTGCAATCCAAGAAATGTTCGAATGCTATCACAATACAACATGCCTTGGAAACAAAACAATTTGAAGATCCTTTGTCTGTTTTCGTAAGTCCGGCAGATATTGAAAAAATAAGCATATCGGACCTCATCAACACAGCAAATCAGGTTCTACAAACATTTCTTCAATAGTCATATTTTAAATTCATGTCTTAGAGTTGAGCCAGAAGTTGATGATATCCACACTTTTACACAGAAAGACATGTACTGGGTTGAAGGTGAATTGCAACTCCTAGAAAATGAACCCATTACGGTGTACATAGGATGCACCACTTGTAATCGGAAGGTGAACTGCAGAGAAGGTATCACCTTTGAATGCATGCAATGTGGAGACAAAGAGGCATCTACGATAAAGAGGTTACCTGTATATTTCCATTTTCTTTCAAAAAATGACTAATCCTTAATATGTTCTGATATACGAACACTTTCTCCCCGCAAATCAACGCAGATTCAGAGTGACAGCTGAAATACATGACGGAAGCCATGCTATACACGTGACCCTCTTCACCAAGGAGCTCCAGAAAATACTTAAGACACTTGAGTGGAATTCACCGTTGGAGACGATCAACTTTGTGAATCTAAACAAGGCGCTTCTATCACTCACTGTCATTGCTGCAATCAAACCAAGTTCAGGCACTTACGAAACAAATACATCAAACACGTTCTCACTACAAACCCTCTACAGTCTCTCTCCGAAGCAAAGAAGCGCACCAAGTCTAAAGAGAAAGATGAAAGTTGAAGAGGACGCCCACAAAAAAAAGACCTAGCTAATGTTTACGGACCTTGAAAACTCTTTTGACCCTAATCTCTATTCATACTGTTCTTGTAAAATATAACTACCCCAACTTAGTAGGAGGCCTTATGTCAGTTTGTTACATAGTAAAAATGATGAAGTGCAAGTGATCACTTCAAGTTTTGTAAAACAATCCCTAAGTTAGAACTCTTAAGTTAGCCAAATATCATAAATGAAGTGTGGGTGACCACACCATTTTTTTTGTAAAACACTCCCTAACTTTGTGATAATATAATATGGGTATGATATAGCCAGTATGTTCAATCTGTATGATACATAATATACTTATATGGGCACTAACACAAAGAATTTGGGCACTCACACACAAAGTGTGTGCCTAGCTAGTATATATATATATATATATATATATATATATATATATATATATATTGAAGAAATTTTTATATATTAATTAAGACGAATCGAGATACAAGTTTTGTCACATGTAATTGCTCCCCTAACATTTTTGGGAAGAGAAGTGAATGATAAATAGTCGGAAAACAGATTGTTTTTGAGTGCATATTTTGCCAGATTATGTGCCGCTGTGTTTTCTTCTCTGTATATGTGGCTGGCATTCCCATGTCTTGTTTGTAGAATTGTCTTTATGTTGAAGCTGACTGTATCTTCTCTATTTTTCGCATTAATTCTATTTATTGCATTTTTGGAGTCCATGCAGAGATTTATTTGTCCATGAAGAATTTTTGTGGCCCATTGTAGGCCCAATAGTCCAGCTTCCAGTTCTCCTTCTTCTGCGTTGGTCTTCTGTTGAAGCATCTTTGCCATAACTCCAATGAAGTCTTCGTTGGTTGTTCGTAGGATTGCACTGCCCACCATTATTCCATTGCCTACTGCCACATCCGTGTTCACTGTGGTGTTAGTAGCTTGCCATTTGAAGATTCGAACGGCTGGTGTATGTGCAATTGGATATTCAAAAGTTAGAGAAAATTTGCCTTTTCCTTTTCCAATAGTCCACTCGATTAGTTTGTTCCAAATAATCTGAATGATCTGAGTTGTTGTTTTTTATTCTTCTTGATGCTTTCTGCGATTTCTTTCCTTCCAGATTTCAAAAGCTATGATTCCAGGAGCAATTTTCTTCTGTGGATTGTTGCTTGTAGTGTGATCTTGCCACCAGGTCATCAGGTACGCACAAATCCCATGTGTATTACTTCTAGGGATTTTGAAATGTTCTTCAAAATGTGCCCAAATTTGTTTGCTGTAGCTGCATTGCTTGAGTGTGTGATTTTGATCATCACAGTTGTTCCTGCACAGAAAACAAATAGAGGGCAGAGTAACTGCAAATCTTGTGAGATTGTTAGTGAAGGGTAGAATATTTTTGTATGTCTTCCAAAGAAAGAGAGAAATCTTAGGGTACTGTTTAGTATTCCAAGAGTATTTTAGAAAGTTTTGAGTAGGATGATTCTCTCTCAAGGCATTGTAAGCTCTCTTTAGGCTGAAGCCGGTTTGACCATCATCCCAGGATGGTTGGTTGTCAAAGTCAATATTGATGATGGTGTTGACTTTGTCATGGATGTGGTGTAATCTCTTCCAAGTTGGTGAGTCAATGAGTTTGGGAGGGTTGTTGAAACTGTTAGGGTATCTATGATGCATGAAATTTGCCCAGAGAGAGTTATTATTCATGAGGCTCCACCACATTTTGATCCCATAAGACATATGTAGGGTATCAAGGTTAGGAATATTGAGCCCCCCTTCATCTTTGGGTCTGCAAATGTCCTTCCAAGAGCTCCAGTGGTAGTTTTGGTGTTCATTTTTGGATCCCCAGAGAAAATTGCTCATTTTCTGATGTAGGCAAGTGACGATACTTCTGGGTAGTTTAGTAGAGCCAAGTGTGTGTATGGGGATGGCACTAAGGACATGTTTGATAAGAACAAGCCTTCCACTCTGGGATAGCAAGTGCTTGGTCCAACCTTGCAGCTTTTTATCAAAATGATTTAGGAGGTCATTGCAGTAGTTCTTCTTATTGATTCCTCTGTGGATTTGAGTGCCCAGGTATTTGAAAGGGAATTGGCCTCTTTGCATGTTGAGAATTTTATATATATATATATATATATATATATATATATATATATATATATATATATATATATATATATTAAAGAGGCTTTATTAAAAGGAGAGAAAAGGAGGAAGTACAAGAAAGAGGGAAAAAAAGGCCTAACTACACCACATTCAAAAGCTTGCTACCATTAATCCAAAATAAATCTAAACCCCAACCCCTGAAGGTGTTATCATGGATCAGCCATTTTTTGCGTCGTGAAGCCCAGCACCATGCTTGAATATGTTTAAAATACTGTTGGATGATACCCTCCTTGGTGTGGATATGGCCTTCATGAATTGCTAAGTTCCTTGCCTTCCAGAGGTGCCAAGCGATGACACCGGGCATAATGACTCGTAGAATCCCTTTGAAGGAGAACGTATCACCTGAGAACCACCAACTGATGAAAATTTGGCTAAGTTTGAGGTTGGGAGCTGACATGGGAGCATCGATGAGATTGCCAAAGTACTTCCAGACCTGGTAACCAAACCTGCAATTTCCGAGAGTATGATCTATGGAATCTTCTGCTTGCTTGCATAGCGGACATTGGCTGGGGAGACAGGAGCTGAAGCGCTTGGTTAAATCAGGGAAGGGTAGGCAG